ATGCAACGTTGGAGCTTTGGGAAAACCGCTCATATTTTGCACCTCAATATTTTTATCTATAAAATGTAAATAAACTGTGCACCTACCCAGAGGGAACATTGTAAAACCAAAACGAGGTATTGCACAGAATTGGGTAGAAAAGAGGCCTGGCTCATGGTAGGTTCTCCACGCCTCTGATGATTGCATGCAAACACTTGGAAGATGGGAGTTCACACAGCGCACTGAGCACATTGAGGCCAGAGAGCACTCAAGCAAGGCCAGGAACAGAAACAGCATGGTGAATCATGGGTAAGGCTGGTGTGAGATGAGTGACATTCAGATGTCCAGGGGACATTCCTAGTGTGCAGCCAGGCGGGACCCAAAGTGAAGGAGAGAAATGGAGAGAGTGGTTTTGCTTCTCACAGGGGTGTCCTGGCACCCCAGACTGGACTAGTCAACCCTCCACGTGGCCCTCTGCCTTCCCCCCTGCTTGGCTATAGTAATTGGAGGAAAGGTAAGCATGATACACAAGCCCAAGGTAACTGTCCACTGCAGGGCCACAGTGCCATGTTCTGATAAGAAGCTGCCCTGTGATTTTCTGAAATTTCCAAATTGAAACTCAGAAGTCCCGGCCAGGCGCAGTGGCTCATGCCTGTAATCCCAGCACTTTGGGAGGCCAAGGTGGGAGGATCACTTGAGGTCAGGAGTTCAAGATCAGCATATCCAACATGGTGAAATCCCATCTCTACTGAAAAATAAAAATAAAAATAAAACCCCTAAAAATATTAGCAGGCATTGTGGCACATGCTGGCAGTCCCAGCTACTCAGGAAGCTGAAGCAAGAGAATTGCTTGAACCCGGGATGTGGAGGCTGCAGTGAGAAGACATCCAGACTGGGTGACACAGAGAGACTCCATCTCAAATAAATAAATAAATAAAAAGAAGCCCTTTCAGGAGGCCAAAGATGTTGGCAGGTGCAAATCAATGTAGTTTTACAGAAAATCCAATCCAGAAACCAAAATCTGAGTAATCAATCAGCGCGTCGTTCCTGTTGACATCCGACTGTCCCTAATGTCAGCGCCTCTCCCCGCCCACTCCTTTCCTTCCGCTTACATGATCCGGTTTGAGTTCTACGCAGCAGAGAGACTTGACTAGCACAGCTCCTGCTGCAAGCCCACTCTTGGCCTAATACCACCGCTGCTAAAACTCATAACACTCTGTTTCAACACAGAAATAGAAATACTTACAAAAGTATGTTGCTTTGACACCTCCGCCTCTATGCACTGGGTAGCACAATGTGGAGCTCTATATGCTGAAATATATACAATGTCCATGCCACACTTATTCCAACACATTGGACTTGATTTCGAGCGCTCAATGCCAGCTATGACGCCAGCTTCGGCCCCTGGGTTACTCCTCAGCACTGCCTCTTCTCACTGTTCTGATTTTAACACTTAGCTGACTTGAAACCCTTTTAAACAACAGATAAATAAGATTCTCCAAACATGTTTAGCTCAGCTTCCTAAAAGTACAGAAATATGATTTTCTAATACTGGGCATCAGATTCAAAACACCAACCAGTGAGAATAGAATCTCCCTGTGGATCCCTATTTAATTAAATCTACTGATTTCCTGGTAGAAAAGGTCTTATGTAACATAATTTTAGCAATTTACCTGAAATTTAGCAATTTACCTGAAGTATCCAGATGGGGGGAAAAGTGGCAATGGTCTGACTGAAAACAGGTAGCAATCTACCAAAACACCAATAATCCCTCCAACTTGATTTTCTGGCCTCCGGAAAATCCTCTGTCAGATACACTGCACAGCCCTCCAGATGAAGCAGGAATTCAACTTGACAACATATAAATCTCTGTGTACAAAGATGATTGGAACTAAATAATTATTTTACCCTGAACATATAAAGATATTACAAAAAGCAGATATTTTTCCTTATGTAGGGGCTAGGGAAGTGAAAAAAACTAAAAGCATTCAATATTCTGTCTGACATATTAAAATGTGGATGCTTAAATTAATGTTGGGTAAAAAATAAAAGACACCACACACACAGAAACACACACACACACACACACACACACACACACACGCACACACATATTTTTTGAGATGGAGTTTTGCTTTTGTTGCCCAGGCTGGAGTGCAATGGTGCTGCCTCTGCTCACTGCAACCTCTGCCTCCCAGATTCAAGCGATTCTCCTGCCTCAGCCTCCCGAGTAGCTGGGATTACAGGCACACGCCACCTTGCCCGGCTAATTTTTGTATTTTTGGTAGAGACTGGGATTCACCCTGTTGGCCAGGCTGGTCTCAAACTCCTGACCTCAGGTGATCTGCCTGCCTCTGCCTCCCAAAGTGATGAGATTACAGATGTGAACCATCTCACCCGGCCAAAAGACAAAAATATTAAGGAAATAATTCACCCTTGAAACTATATGCTGAAATCATTTTTTTCTACATTTTTCTAAAGAGATCAACAATGACACAGGAAATTGCTTTGACATGATCACCAAACTAGAAATTGATGTCAGTGGCATCCTTTTTAAAATGACTAAGACTAACTTAATTACAATGATTTTAAAATTCTTACTTCTTCTGTATTTATCATAGACTATTATTCCTAGTGCCTGCCTAGTCCCTATTATTAGAATTGAATCAGCAAGCTTTCCTCCAAATTAGGCAGTATATCCCATTCATTTCCAAAAGATACATACAATCAAAATGGTCACATTGTGCAGCTCATTGCTTAGCTCATAATAAATATTTCTATCTGTAGGCAGCAATTATGATTTAGAAACAGAGGCACAGAGTACATAACAGCAAACAACTGAAATTAATTAAATAACCCTTCAGCTCATTTCTTGGAATAAAAGTTTAACATGAACTCTCTTTGTGGGTAATATCAATTGCTTGAAAATGAAGAAAAGAATATTTTTATAAAGAATAACTTACAGCATTAAATAAGGTATTGTTTCCATTAAAGTGGACTTAAAGTAATAAAAATTAATTCAAAGATATTTTATCCTTTTAAGAAGGAATCTTCCTGTTGCATCACTGTATTAACAGATGGAAGGAATAAACTAAAATAAATATGGATTTCATAGTATTTAACTACAACTTAAACATGGCATATCGTTGTCTGGTCAAATATTCGTAGTGCCGATCAGAGTACAGACTTGAGGATACGCCTTTAAATAAACAACCTCTTATCTAAATCTCAGAGGCCTGCAAAATTAAGTTTGGGATTTCCCAGCAGCAGGGAGCAGGCTTCCTACAAGCGTCTGGACTTGGATCTGCGCTTGGGGCCAGGAATCTCTTGAGCCTGGCCTGCTGGAAGCAGATGTCACCAATGGCGTTCTTCCTTCCTCGGGGACATCAGAGGCTGCCGAGCAGCGGTGCTCTGCTTTGGGCCGTCAGAGATCAGCAAATCAGGTTTACTGTGCAGGACACAAGCTTGAACTGGTGTGTATCAGTCACATTAAGCCGTGTGAGATGTTCTCAGTTCCTACCGCTCCTTCTGCTGTAACTACTGATGTGCAATTTCTAAAGTTCATCTTTAGAGTACACGGCATGAAGTCTGAGCTCCTTCAGACGCCTTCTCCCCCCTCACACTTCCCACACCACCGTTTCCAGCAGGCAGTCGACATCTAGGCTTTGAGGTGGACATGTAAAGCCTCAATGTCTCTGGTTTCCTGGGACGGCCTTCTCTTTTGATGTCCAAATCATGACACGAACAAGCCTTGGAGGACCAGTGCTTAGGGCGGAGCTCTGTCAGGTCATCCAAGCACCTCCGTTAAGACTTGCTGAGCAAATGCATAATCTATCAATACATTAGGTTCCATGTGGCTACATCAGCAATGGTGTGGGGTTGACATGCCATTTTAATACGCTTTTGTTGCATCGGGTGCTGACTAAAATATTCATTTTTAGATGAAAATACATAAATGTTCTGACTTTTCACAATTTGCTTCTGTAAGGCAATACAGTGGAATACTATTACTTGGATTTTTATGTAAAATATTAAAAAGGAAGAAAAAACAAAAAGAAAACCATAGTTCTCTAAAAATAAAATAATTCTATTCAGTCACCACCCCTGCTTTCATAAGGAGCCATATATGTACTTCTAGCCCCCAAGATTGACATTATTAAAGGTTTTCTGGCCGGGCGTGGTGGCTCACGCCTGTAATCCAAGCACTTTGGAGGCCAAGGCAGGCGGATCACCTGAGGTCGGGAGTTCAAGACCAGCCTGACCAGCGTGGTGAAACCCCGTCCATAAATATAAATAAATAATAAATAAATAAATAAAAATAAAGGTTTTCCATTGTAATTTTCTACTTTGATGAACAGAAATATGGTACAATATTTATCATTCAATACAGCCAATGCTCAAGTGTCCAGCTCAATAGCCCTTTAGCTCCCTGCATAGTAGTCCCTGTAGCATGTCGTGTTGGAAAACTAATATATGTTATATCGCTCCATCACCATCAGAACCTTGGGATGCCCAAAGGATACTGTGCCCCAGGGCACCTCGCAAACTGCAAAGCCCTTGAATAAAGTTATTTCCCCTGAAGCCAGCACCGTGGCACCTACGCCATGTGATAAGCCTATCAAAGAGGTTTGTGCTTCGTTAGGCGTCAAGGATAAAATTGGGAATGTACTGAGAGATGTTTGTGTGCCGTGTGCAGTAACAATTAGGAGGGAAGCAGTTAACATTTTGTCACTTGATGATCAGCGATTAGCTTCCAGATGCTTTTGAAACAACTGTTTATTTGTATGTCGTATATCTTGGTGAAAGCAATCTCACTGATATGATCAGTGAGCAGATCTTTAGAAAATGCAATGGGAATCCCATCAGTGAGTTGCACACACTACCTTTTCAGCACAGAAAGGAGGCATAAACTTGATGTTTTGCACTGAGGATATTTGTGATGGTACCAGGAGCTCAGAGCTGTAACTCATTGCCATAAAACCCCACGTTTTTCTTACAAATAGATGGGCCAAAGCAGCATGTTCATTGTTTGTAGAATACTTGTAATTGTTTACACAATACTTGTAATTCCTTCCAGTGGTGAGGGATGATGTGCCCCAGGAGAGAGAGGAGGGAGAGGCCGAACCAAGCGGCTGTGAGGGGTCTCAGACGATCGTGCTGCAAACATGGTACCCAAAGGGCTCTCACACAAGGGCTTCTGCGCACACAGGCACCTGCTCAATCCTGTCCCAAGGGCAGGTTCTGGGCACCGAGACAAGAAGCGTGTGGGACTGGAAGCTACAAGTGTTCCCTCTCTGTTCCCTCCCAACTCCAGCTCTAACCACACACCCCATGCCCTGTGTAGACACGGAGATGATGTCACCACAGTGGGTGTTCGAACACCGGATCCAGGAGTGGGGACCAACGTCTTTGCCTTGGGCACCTTCCTCATTGAAGTCCCTGTGATGAGATGAAGAAAAGCTTCAAGGGCCAACAGTGGGCTTGAAGATGCTGGGCTCACCCCTAACCCGTCGCCCCGACCCCCAGAGTCAGATGCCAGCTCCTCGGCTGCCTGCACCGGGGCGCAGGGCTGCCGCCACCCACAGGCTCATCAGCCTCGGAGAACCGTCCGGATCTGAGAGACCCAAACTGCCATTCCAGCAGGGAAACCTCTAGAACCAGCCATGATTCAAAACTAAAAAAGCAAACAAATCCCTCAGGAATGCAGGCTGCTTCCTCATCTTCATTTTGGACCTGTCTCCTTGCAAGTTCCTTCTAAGAAGAGAAGACTTCCCACTCCAGCTGTCTCTGCTTTGCCGAGGTTACTTGGCCATTGGTGTCTTATGCACTTCAATATGGAATTAGCAGCAATGTCTCCTCCAACGTGTACTTACAGAGAATGACAAATGCTTTATGTGAATACAATAAGAACACACTTGCGTACTTACAGCACCTAGCATCTGCCCCTGGCCTGTGCAAATTAAGTGGTACAGTTCCAGCAATTTCAATAATTTATTATATCTTTGCTATAAAATGAATAAAGGGGAAGGCCAGTCATTATCCATTTTAAGATGCGAACAAGGACTATAGGCAACACTGTGGGTTGCACAAAACAAAAATGATTGGGGCTGGAGCCTTCAGTGTTCTCAGATGTTTCACCTGAACATGCTCTTCGGTGCCCACGAACCCCTGGCAGCAGCGTGAGCCAAGACACACATAACCGCCCTCCTAGGAACTTGATATTTTAAAATCACCAAGGATTTCAATAAAGAAAAAATTACATGTACAAAAATAAAATGCATATTCCCTTTTTATTCCCTCCTCAGAAGTGTCTCGTGATACAGCTGTATTCACTTCTCTGGTGGTATCTTTAAGACACGTATCACAGGTATCACAGGTGCAGCAGGGGAGCCTTCCTTCTGTGGTGCTGTTGGTCTGCAGTGCTCGCCTGCAGTGAGTGAGCCTGTCTTTCCCGGTGAAGGTGTGGGGGCTCTTCCTGTGTTTGCGCCCATGCACTGTGGCTGTAAATGCACTGTCATAGCCATTCCTACCAGTCCCGCTTGGTGTTCCCGTAACTGATTTTACTCCTGCAGCCCTCCCGAGGCTCTTGGTATGTCTCAGAGCGAGTTAACTTGTTGTTGAAAGTCTGTATGCATCTGTTGAAGCTAGCTGGCTTCTTTTCTGTAACTACCCCAAAGTCTCCCCATCTTCTACCTCAGGACACGCGTGCATCCTGTGGCCAGTCCATCCAGAAAGCCCATGGAGGCGGCTGCCAGCGTAATGAATTGAATCCTCATAACAAGGGAAAGCTCAACGTTTGAAAAATTCACATATTTTCCATCATCATGGTCTACACTGTACCAGATTGTGTTTGCCTAGTGGCTAGGATTGATATTCGTGTTTGAGTAAAATGAATTAAATATGAAAGAGAAAGTTCAAAATGATCAGCATGAAAACTGACTCACTGGACAGATCTCAAGTCAAACGCATCCTGAGTAGATGTTTCTGCACTGACCATTTCTAACTATCTAGCATGGACTGAAGTATCAAGGTAGCAAGGGTGAAACTATTTTTTTCAGATTAAAAAAAAAAATCCATGATAATATTGCCCACCCCCACCCTAAATATTTTGCTACTGAAAAAAAGATTTTACCTATAATAAAACATTCAGGCTGGGCACAGTGGCTCATGCCTGTAATCCCAGCACTTTGGGAAGCCGAGGCAGTCAGATCACAAGGTCAGGAGATCAAGACCATACTGGCTAACACGGTGAAACCCTCTCTACTAAAAATACAAAAAAATTAGCCAGGCTTAGTGGCATATGCCTATAGTCCCAGCTACTTGGGAGACTGAGGCAGGAGAATCGCTTGAACTTAGGAGGCGGAGGTTGCAGTGAGCTGAGACTGCGCCATTGCACTCCCTCTGGGCAGCAGAGAGAGATTCCAACTCAAAAAAACAAAAGAAATTCAGGTGAACATTTTTATGCAAAAGGGACAGAGAATCTTAACCTAAAACATCTAAGTGTAATTTAAATTTCTTATTCTTTTTGTAGATGAGGCAAAAAATGTATCCTTGATTCTGAACTTATTAGAGCCATATGGCCAATCGTAAAAACAATATGCCTCTCTCAACATTTTTACCAAAAAGGAGCAGGTTGAGGAGAGTGGACCCAGGCTAGCCTTCCTGGGCAAGCTGGGCAGATTCTGTTCAGGAGACATCTCTTTAAAAATAGCAACAAGAGTTCCCGTTTTCATTTAGACATTGCTTTACCTACCCTCCACTAAAAGCCTGTTCAAATACCATGCAAGTGACTGATATATTTGCAAAAATTGTTATAGTTCTTAGCCTCGTGGGAGGCCCCATACTGAGAAAACAGTATGTGGCTGTCTTTGAGATAAAGCCTTAACTAAAGTCTCAGACCCAACACTGGAAGATGCCACGTACCCCAGGAATAGGGGGTGGCCCTGCCAGGAAGTGCCATTTCCTGCCTGTATTCTCTCTCACCTGAAAGAGACAGAACAGCCCAGGGGGCAGGGATCTCTGGCCCTGCAGGGGGTCTCCTCCATCATGACCTCATCACATGCCTGTCCCCGAAGCTGAGTCACTTTGCTGCTGATTCCCAGATTCTGGCTTGTGATCTCTTCATCAGGTTTATCTTGATGCCTGTCATGTGGTATTCCTTGAAAGTCAGCATCCCTAAAATTCCTGTCATTCCTGTTCTATCCCAGGGGAAATGGACTGTGTTTCAACAAGCTGAGGCACCTTTTATTACGTGGAAGGAAGGAGAAAGCCTGGCTTGTTGACACGCTGCTCTGTCCTATTTTTGTCTGGGCTGTGTGACCTTTAATGGAGCTGTAGACCTGGGCCATGTGGGAGAGGCCACCACAGCTGCCCAATGGGAGTGACGCAATTCCCTGGGATGTCGAAGCCAGGCTGCCCCAGAGTGGACTCGGACCCAGAGCTGATGTCACAACCACAGGGTTCACTATGCGTTGGATGCAGGATTCTTGTTTCCATCAGGATTGAGGCACTGCACAGACACTCTGAGAAAAAGCATGCAATAGAGGCTCGGCTGTTCAGTGAGCCTACCCTGCGATGGAGGTGGACAAGATTAAAAAAGAAATACGTGCATAAATAGCAGTTTGAGGAACCAGACAGTGCATGACAGGAGCATGCCAGAAAAAAACTGAAAATCACTGGTGTTCTTTCTGCACAGGCCAATACATAGGTGCATGTGGATATTCTACAGTCACGATATTGGTTCCCAATTAAGAACACTCATTATTTAGTGATCTAATTAATTCAAATAGTATTAAGTATCTGTGCAATCTTAACTTGGACAGGTCACTTACACTCCCTGATCTCTCTTAATGTTCTCTGAATAAGGATGTTAAAATTGATGAGAACGAAATTTCCTTCTAACATTGTGATTCTAAGATTCAGCAATAATAATAGAAATCCAGGTAATTATCCCTGATCTAATTATGGTGTAATTAGGCCGCCGATGATGTGCGGCGTTAATGGCGCCTGACGCCGGGTCTCACACCCCAACAACTTGCTCTCCGAAATGGATTTTGAGTTTGGAGTGGCGTGATGATTGCAAGACTTTGTTATTCTGAGCCCCAGTGTCTGCTAAGTGGCATTCAATTAGTCACATGAAACGCTGACTCATCCGTTGCCAAAGTCTTCATTCAGAAGAAGAATGTCCATTCAAGTCAGATTCAGCGAAATTTGTAATAAAAGGAGTTGTCGAGGGCTTTCCGTTCAGAACAGAACAGGCAGGAGACTAAGAGCACGTTTTGCTTATTTCAGTCCTTTAAGACTTTTATTTGGTTCATTGGAGATTGTATATATATGCTTTCACTTAGCACCTATATATTTAAAGATTTTGATTTCATCATGATAATTTTGGAAAATCAAGGGATAACAGGTTTCCATTTAAAAAAAGAAATGTAACTGTGGGGGGTAAAAAGAGATATATCTCCTCTCTGAAAATCAAATTTACTTGAGGTTTTAGAGAATATATAAATATTTAATAATTAGAAGTCATATTATAAATTAGAATGCAAGTTTGGCAGAACTAGCAGGATAAAGCTGGAGACTCTGGAGACAATCTCTTGTGGCTGACTGCATGGCACCCCCTCGCCCTCCCCCAGAAGGCATCTGTCCAGTTTTGTCAGGAACGGCATCCGTTTGCTCACGAGAAACTGCCCTAGCCTGTGGTCCTGACAGAGCTCTGCAGGTGAGGCCGCAGCTGTCTCCTGCGGGCAGGCGGTGAGCATCCGTCCTGGTCCTGGTAGCTGCTGCCAGGCGACACAGAGCCTTACCCCCACTGTGCAGATGTGCCGTTCACCAGTTGTTTCCTGGCTTGAATATCTCCAGCTGTGGATTTTGAGCCATTTATGACGAAGCCACATTGTCATATAGAGGACACTTTTTTCCCCTGGATCTTTCCAATAAAACCCTCTGAGCAAAAGCCTTCCCTGTGTACCAACAAAAGACCCTCCAATCTGCAGGGTCATTCATTGTCCGATAACGGAGAAAAACAATTTCAATGAATAAAAGCCACTTTGCGTTCTATCTTGTCCGGTAAAGACTTTCCATTTTAGAAGGAGCTTTTATGTTATATAATCATGACCTGAAATTTTAGTTTACTTTTATCTGCCAAAAGAAGTGCTCTTATTTTAATTTGTTCTAAACCTATAGAAATTAGTCCATTTTCCCCTATGTCCTCTAATATTAAAGCTATCTTGGGGTATGCTTTCCTGTCTTTTTTTTTTTTTTTTTTGAGATGGAGTCTTGCTTTGTCACCCAAGCTGGAGTGCAGTGGTGAGATATTGACACACTGCAACCTTCGCCTCCTGGGTTCAAATGATTCTCCTGCCTCAGCCTCCCAAGTAGCTGAGATTACAGGTGTGTGCCACCGTACCTGGCTAATTCTTGTATTTTTAGTAGAGACGGGGTTTCATCATGTTGGTCAGGCTGGTCTCGAACTCCTAGCCTCAAGAAATCTGCTCATCTTGGCTGGGATTATAGGCATGAGCCATCTCACCTTGCCCAGGACATGCTTTTCTAGGGTTTATATGACAAATGATAGAGAAGTAATGACCTCTCGCTCCACTAAAATACAGGACAGTTTAGAACACAATTAACTTTTCTATTCCTGAGCTCTACGCAAAGATAATCTAGTTAATCAAGAAATGTCCAGAGCCACCTTGTAAATGTCCAGATTAGTCTTTTTTTTTTAACCACCATTTGGGTACTGAAAAACTTACGCAAGCGACAGACTCTGTGTGACTTGATTCCTTAAAATGCAGTCTTTTCATCCATAAACCAGCAAGTCCTCTGCTGTTAATATGGTGTCATTTCTCACTGTGCGACACTTAAGATGCACATTTTGTTTACGTGTGCCATTTCAAATCTTTGAATCGTAGTATAGAGTAGACTATCTTCAGTCCCAGTTAAAATTATGGTCTAGACTAGTATATTTATCTAAATTAGGGTTATTTGATTTCACTGAGGTATATAGTAGAGAGACAGCCACAAATCACATTTAAGAGAAAGCAGAAAATTTGAATAGTCATTCCTGACATCCATGGAAAATGGTCTTAATAGACCCCTCAACGTTCAGTCCAAAGCAGGAAGAAAATTCAGTTTGTCAAACACTTAGATATTGATGCCAATTTAAGAAACTCTCGGTGTTTTTGAGCTGTGGTAAAATTGCCCTATTTTTATGGAATTTTCAAAATGACCCCTTTCAAAATTATGGAATTTTGAAATGGCTTCTATAATCAGAGGGAAACATTCTGATTATAGATATTATTTATCTAGGCCTAGATGGAATAATAACAAATTGAAGGGATTGACAAGTTAGAAGTAAAGATTTTCTTGTATTTATTCCCTTTCTGATTGATCATCAGAAACCGTTACAAGTTATTTCAAGTAAATCTCTAAGGATAAGCAAAAATGTAAATGGCCAACCTGTTCTTGTTTGTGACTGTGTACTTGTCTCTAATTGTCCACTGTTAGAAAAATCATCTTCCCATTTCTTCCTCTGCCCTTTGGGAGTTCACCAGTAGGTCACTGGAGAATGAACATTAGACCAAGTCAATGCCCAGGCACCTTGTTTCCTTTAGGAATCTGGCCTTATATGGCAAGGACCCACAGGTCCACAATTTAAACCTCTAGTGCTCAGGCTGGCCTCAGCTGTCCTGCCTTCAGTGGCACCCAGTTGAAACCCTCTCTCACTGCTGAGGGCCACCTGAGCCCCTACATCTTCAGTAGGGGCTCCCTTTTCTTCTCACCTTTAATCAGTTCCTTCCGAGTTTGGTTTCACTCTGGGCTATTGATTTCTTCTCCTTCTTTCCCATTTAGTAGTTCTGTGGACAATCTTCTGGGGTCTAATCCATGCCTTAACTGGTTTTTGAAACTTCCCTTGTATAAAAATCGACTCAGGATGGATTAAAGACTTAAATGTAACAACTGAAGCTATAAAAACACTAGAAGAAAAGCTACAGAAAACTGTCTTGGACATTGGTCTAGGGAAAGAATTTATGAGTTAGACCACAAAAGCACAGGCAACAAAACCAAAAAATAGACAAAAACTTCTGTACAGCAAAATAAATAACCAGCAGAGTAAACAGGCAACCTATAGAATGGGAGACAATATTTGCACACTATGCATCTAATAGGGAACTAATGTCCAGAATTTGTAAGGAACTCAAATAACTCAACAACAACATAATAATTTCATTGAAAAGGGGGCAAAGGATGCGGACAGACATCTTTCAAAAGAAGACACACAAATGAGCAAGAAGCATATGAAAAAATGCTCAATATCACCAATCATCAGATAAGTGCAAACTCAAACCCCAATAAGATGCTGTATGACAGCTGTTAGAATGGCTGTTATAAGAAAAAAACAAAACAAAACAAAACAAAAAACAAGAAGAAAACAGGTGCTGGTGAGGATTTGGAGAAAAGGGAGAACTTGAACACTGTGGCAATGTGAGTTTCTGCCCTGAAAGCTGCATCTCAGAGCACAGGCTCTGGTGTGGTCATATGTGCAGAGCACCATGGTATGCACAGACCCTGCACACAACCACAGTGGTAAACCAAGCGACTGTGGTAGTGAGGAAGCAGGATTGTGTTAGAATGCCATTTCCAATTTTATTTTTAAATGATCGTGAGCATTTGAGATAGTAACTGTTGATAATACATTTCCTTTTGAGATGGAAGGAGGGGAACTGGCACACTAATTTACTGTTGTCAGGTTTCCTTACTTTTCAATCACAAATCCATCTGGTTTTGTTTTGTTTCATTGTTTTGTCTTCTTTTGAGACAGAGCTTTGCTGTTGTCGCCCAGGCTGGAGTGCAGTGGCGCCATCTCAGCTCATTGCAACTTCTGCCTCCCAGGTTCAAGAGATTCTCCTGTCTCAGCCTCCTGAGTGGCTGAGATTACAGGCACCTGCCACCATACCCAGCTAATTTTGTTTTTTTAATAGAGATGGGGTTTTACCATGTTGGCCAGGCTGGTCTCAAACTCCTGACCTCAGGTGATCCACCCACCTTGACCTCCCAAAGTGCTGGGATTACAGGTGTGAGCCACAGTGTCTGGCCCATAAAAACCCATTTCGAAATCACCCCTACTTGCTTTTAAACATCTGTCCAAAGATGGGGAGCACCACTGCAGGTTCCTAGCAGAAGGCAGCTCCAGGTAGATAAAGCGTCCTTCCAAAATTAAAGGCACCAAAAATCAAACACAGTAATAAAAGCAGAGTTTTTAAATATTATTCCTAGAAATAAATTTTCTTTTTTGAAACTGTTGCTGAAAAATTAAAAGGGAGCTGGAGAGTCTTTCAGCAACAACTGTAGAAGAAAAAACATTAGGCCCGGCTCGGTGGCCCACACCTGTAATCCTAGCATTTTGGGAGGTTG